AGAAGTGCAAAGATACAAAGCAAGATTAGTGGCGAAAGGCTACAAACAGAGAGAAGGCATTGACTATGGAGAAGTGTTTGCTCCAGTAGCCCGACTAGAGACAATCAGACTGATGATCTCACTGGCAGCACAACATAGATGGAAGATCTATCAACTCGACGTGAAGTCAGCATTTCTGAATGGCTTCCTAGAAGAAGAGATCTATGTTGAACAACCACTTGGATACATTGATGCTGAAAATGAAGGCAAAGTATACAAGTTGAAGAAGAGATCTACGGTTTGAAGAAAGCTCCGCGTGCTTGGAATACTAGAATTGACAGGTATTTTCAAGACAATGGATTTAAAAAATGTCCATATGAACATGCAATTTATGTGAAGAAAGAAGCAGATGGCAGCATATTATTTGTGTGCCTATATGTTGATGACTTGATATTCACCGGCAACAATCCTACCATGTTCGAAGACTTCAAGAAAAGCATGGTACAAGAGTTTGAGATGACAGACATTGGTCTGATGACACATTTTCTTGGCTTAGAAGTGGTGCAGAAAGAAGAAGGGATTTTTGTATCCCAAAGCGATTATGCCAAAGATATTCTTGAAAGGTTCAAGATGGAAAGCTGCAATCTGGTATCAACTCTAGTTGAGAATGGAGTGGAATTGAGGAAAAGTAAAGTTGGAAATGTTGATCCAACTTACTTCAAAAGCTTAGTAGGAAGCTTAAGGTACTTGACATGTACCAGACCAGATATACTCTATGGAGTCGGATTGATCAACAGATATATGGAGAAGCCAGACCAGTCTCATTTGAATGCAGCCAAGAGAATTCTTCGCTACATCAAAGGCACAATAAATGAAGGTATGTTTTATACCTCAAGTACAAATTTTAATCTTACTGGCTACTCGGATAGTGATTGGGGTAGAGATCTGGATGAAAGAAAAAGTACAACAGGGTTTGTATTTTTCATAGGAGATACATCTTTCACATGGTCATCTAAGAAGCAATCGATTGTCACGTTATCAAGTTGTGAAGCTGAGTATGTTGCTGCCAACTTAGCTGTATGCCATTTAATATGGTTAAGGAATTTGCTGAAGTTTTTGGGATTTCCCCAAGAAAATCCTACAGAGATTTATATCGATAATCGATCAGTGATTGCATTGGCAAAGAACCCGGTGTATCATGAAAGAAGTAAACATATTGATACACGTCATCACTTCATCCGAGAGCATGTAAAGAATAAAGAAGTCGAGCTGATATCCTGCAAGACAGATGATCAAGTTGCAGATATCTTTACCAAACCATTGAAAAGAGAAGTATTTATCAGATTGAAATTCATGCTTGAAATGACATCCCTCGATTGAGTTTAAGGGGGAGATTTGTTGAAATAAAACTCAATCTAGAAGGTCAAGAAAGGCAACCACCAGCTGTCACCGCCCAACCGTCCAGCCGCCAGCCACTAGCCGCCGGCCACTTTCACACCGTCGGCCACAACCGCCTTCACACTTGAAGGTTGAATTTTCTTGTTTTGAATTCGTGTATAAATAGGTAGCTAAGTGTATGCAATTATGTGTGGAGAGATTGAGAGAAACACTAGAGAGAAAGAGAGAAAGAAAGAGGGGTTGTTATTGTAAGCTTTTCATTATTGTAAGCTTGTTGTTCTTGAAATAAAAGAGTGTGTTTTATCCCCTCCGAGTGTTTCAAAGCCACCACAAGTGGTTTCTCCCACCAACATTCTTATCTTGACAACTAGATATTTCAACAAGGAATTGTCAAAATTTGTTTTCTCCTTCAGTTTATTCCTCGAAAAAAGCCAAAAGGAGCTAGGTGATGCTGATGGCCTCACTAAAAAAAAGGTTGAGAAGCTGGTGGAAGAGTTCTGGAGGATATTGTTCAGAATGATTTAGTGGAAACGAAACATTGGCTTACCCTCTTTCAGCTTACATTGTTTCCAAGGCTGTATAGGAAATCTCATGGGAATAGCCAAAAGGAAGGTGAAAATAAAAAGACAGAATTTTATGTTGGAGAGTTGTTCTTTGTCAAAAGAGCTAACATTTTGTTTAATGTATTGAATGATATAATGCCCTAAGAGAATAAAGGTGGGGAGAGCAATTCATATTCTGTATCTCCACGCTGAATTTCTAATTAAAGATGGGATATTTTGCCGTTTAAAGTTGATGGATGCTTCAAGTTTCAATTGAGAACTAGCCATCACTGACATGTCAAAGAAACAATTATTTCTTCTACTCTGGAGCAACGATAATATCACCTGAATGCTTATCGATCTCAGTTGGAACTTGCCGTTTTGGAAGTGTTTATCTTCACAACTCTATATTTCTGAAAGCACTCCCCACCACGTGATATAAGCAAACAGTAATGGTACAATAATAACATAGAAAATATATAAATTCTAATTAGTAAAAACAATTATAGATATGAAACATAAATTTATTATTTTATTTTATTTTTTAAATAAATATATAGTGGTTGCATTCTCAAGAGATTTCCAATACCTTTAAGCAAATTATAAGTCTTTATCTCTACTAGAAAACAACTCAAAGGAGATTAAAATAAAATCCAAATAAAAATAATAAATCCAAAAAATCATAGAAAAAATAACAAAATTAGTCTTAATAACAATTTTTAGATCTAATTTTGAGAGATCTAATGGTCCAATAAGAGACAGAATGGCTTTCAATAGAAATTTTTTTTTTCAGATTCACCTGAAATTTTTTTAATTTGATTTAAAAGTTGGATATCTTGTTATCATAGTTTTAAGTTGCTAATCTATTTTAGTGCTACTATACCTCCTTTTGGTCCTTAAATGAGCCTAATAGTCCATAAATAAGTATATGTTAGGCTATTCAAATAGTCTTTCTAAATCAAATTTTTATTTAGTTATGTCAGACTCACACCTAAATGCTAAGAATTTTCAGCTTTTACAAGTTCAACTGCATCATTCTTTCTAAGATAGAGAGAGCTCATCCTCAAATTTTGTTTATCCTCTGGATAAGGTGTCAAGTGTTGAACATTAAAACTTCAAAAAAATTTAGATAGATAGAAAGGCAGTGTGTATAAGAATTTATCTTTTACAACATCTTATGAGGTCCTACCTTCATTTATTTCAGTTTGTTGTACTTGCCCACTAGAACTCTGTCACGAGTAAGTATTGCTATACTAAATCACTAACCTCAAACACTACTCTCATATGATGAGTATTAGTCAGGATCTTATATTTGACATTATTATTAGTAATTAGTATTAGTCAGGATCTTATATTTGACATTATTATTAGTAATTATCTTGTTAACTTGCTCTTGAATACTATACAAGTAATCTGTTATATTGTTAGCTTAAATACTAGGTCATTTGATATAAGAAACATGCATCAACTTCAATACTCTTAAAAGGTTTTTTCCATAAACAATCTCAAATGAATTTATTTGGGTAGTATGATTTTGAGACATATTATAAGCAAATTTTACTTGCAGCAATGTCATATCTAATTTTTTTGGCTTGCCTCCTACTAAACTCTACAACAAGTTGTCAAGGCTATGATTAACCAGCATAGTTTGCTTATCTGTATGAGGATGATATATACCATTAAAGTTCAGTTGAGTTCTCAATCTTTGTTTAGAAAATCTTCCAAAAGTTATCCATAAACTTCACATCTTTATCTTAAGTGATAGATTTAAGAATGTCATATAAACAAACCACCTTATTGAAGGAAATGTGGGCTATATGGGACACATTCATGGTCTTCTAACAAACTATGCAATGGGCATCTTTGAGAATTTATTCACAATAATAAAAATAAAATTCATGGTTCATTAGTTACAAGCTAAGCTTAACATAAAATCCATACTAATATCCATCTAGTATTGGAGTATATGGTCCAACATTTGATAAGGCTCTCTTAGACCTCTAACATGTTTTCTCATAAAACTAGATGCCTAGCCTAATATTTTATGTTATTACCTACTTTTAACTTTATAAAAAAATCAAGAAAATAGAAAAAAAATCCGAAACACAAAAGGATATATAAGAAGAAAGCTTAGAAGATTGTCGAAGTTGGTGGTGAAAGATCAAAATAACAAGTGAAAAAATTATAAAATAAAAATATATAAGATTAGCGAAATTGGCAACCCTATTTAAATTAACAAAGGGTTTCATTGGTGAAAATATTTTTATTTGAGGTAAAGAAATCAAATTTAGATAGGTAAGAAATAAAAAAGAATTTTGAAAGACTTAATTAATCTTATTAAGAACTTAATTGAAAGGAAAATCAGTTTTTAAAATCAATTTAGGTGTTAATTAATTAAAATCTGAGGACTTAATTGATTTTTTAGGAGGTTTAATTTGATGAATAGGGGTCTAACTGTAAGAATATTAAAGTTTTATTTATTTGATGTGGCGAATCTTAAAATAAATTTCTATGGAAAGAATTTGTAAAACAAGTAAACATAAAAAAATAAACTATATATATATATATATATTACATAAAAATATCAAAAAATAATATTTAAAAATAGGTTAAAAAATATATATTTTTACTTACCTGATATGGTAAAATTTAAAAAACAAATTAGAATAGAAATACTAATAAAGTAAATATTGGAGTACCTGAATTTGTAATGATAAAAGTTTAATTTTTATAAAAATAAAAGAAGAAAAAGAAGGGCTAAAGAGGAGGAAAGGTGGAGGGGTAATTTATCATATTATAACTTAAATATTATTAATAAATTTATTAATATATATTAGCAACAAATATATTTTATTGGTAATTCCTTCCATAATAATGACAATTTTTTTTGTCGTCTTTTTATTTTCACCTGTAATTTTTTAAGTATTACCGACAAATATCTACATTGAACAAGCCTCGTGAGTGAACATTTTGGACTTTTTGGCTATTTGGAGGTCACTGCATACGTGGGAACCAAAAGGGGTCACAACATACGTGACTTCTCTCTTCTTACTTGTCATCTTCTTAGCTATTATGGATATCTATAAATTGTCCCAACAATTATCCCGGTAGCATCACACAATCTGAAGCTCTCGCCAACAATGGCAGAAGTACTTCCAACCAAAAGGCACTTCTTTATTACGAAACCTCTCCTCTGCAACATGTGTTGACTCGAAAAATACACTCACAAACTTCATATGCTAATACCTTTTTTTTTGTATGAAATTTCAGGATTGCAGTCGTTACGGGTGCAAATAAAGGGATTGGTTTAGAGATTTGCAGGCAGCTGGCATCTAAAGGGGTCCTGGTGGTTTTAACAGCTAGAGATGAGGAGAGGGGTCTTGAAGCTGTCAAAAGCCTCAAAGTTTCAGGTTTTTCTGATGTAGTTTTTCATCAACTTGATGTGGTGGACGATCTCAGTATCGCTTCCTTGGCCAATTTCATCAGAAACCAATTCGGAAGGCTTGATATATTGGTAATGTTCTCTATTGCTTCCAAGTAGTTCTTTACTTCTTAATAAATTTATGTGTTCCTGGCACTGGTCTACAAATTCTAATATGTTTAGGAAACCGCGACAGGTGAACAATGCAGGCATTGCTGGAACAGAAATTAAAGAAGATGACTGGAAGAAGTTAAGATTAGGTGTTGAAGATGTAAGTCTCTCAAAGTAATACTATCTTCTTATAAATTTCGTTGACATTGATGATAATGGAATTCTGAACTTGGAAAAAAAATACAGGTATATATGTTTTCAATCTCTAACGTTTTGCTTTATTGGATTATTGATCAGATTATAGGTGTAAATGCTGCATCGCAAAGAAAACTTATGAAGCAAACTTATGAAATGTCAATTAGTTGCCTGAGAACAAATTATTTTGGAATCAAGCAGCTAACTGAAGCATTAATTCCTATCCTTGAACAATCCAATTCTGCAAGAATAGTCAATGTCTCCTCCTCCTTCGGGAAGCTAAAGGTAAACACGCCATATATATCCATCTCTTTCAGGCAGTAGATATAGTTTCATTATCATATTCCAATCAGCATACATATATATATGGAAAAGTTCACTACCAAAATTTGTTTCTCCTGCAGTTTATTCCTAATTTCCTAATGAAAAAACCAAAAAGATGCTAGGTGATGGTTGATGGCCTCACAGAAGAAAAAGTTGAGGAGCTGGTGGAAGAGTTCCTGGAGGATCTTAAGAATGATTTAGTGGAAACCAAACATTGGCCTACCCTTTTTTCAGCTTATATTATGTCCATGGCTGCTCAAAATGCCTACACAAGGACTTTGGCGAAGAAGTATCCCAAAATCGCAATCAATGAAGTTTGTCCTCGTTTTACTTGCTCGGACTTTAATTATAACACTGGAAGCGTAACTACTGAAGAAGCTGCACGAGATCCTGCTATGCTGGCTCTGATGCCTGATCATTAGTGCCCTTTTGGCTGCTTTTTTTTTCAGACAGAAATGTCAACTTTTGAATATAAACCAATGTACTTGCAGTGTATGCATGTTATGTACTAAGAGAATAAAGATGGGGGACGGGCCATCACTGATATGTAAAAGAATCAATTAGTTATTCTCTATAAATCATTTCTTCTTCTCTGTTTTGGATTGTATTTAAGCAACGATTTCACCTGAATGCCCATTTCAGTTGGAATTTGCAAGTGCATATATATACACACGCTAATCCTAGTACATGAAAAATTCGTAACAGGATAAGTATATAAACCTTTGCTTTCGAATGCCTGATAATTACATATAGCTAAGAGATTACAATCAATGCAGTGAACAAAAGCACAGTACGTGCACGTAAGGAAACACTGTGAAAATAATTAAAAATATTAATAAAATACCTCAATTAAAAAACTAAAATCTCTCATTTTATAATAGCCACGTTTCTATTTCTATTTCTTTTTCTTTTATAAAAACACCAACATTTTTTTTGTCTTTTTCTTCTCTCATCAACCTTTTCTTTTCTCTTCTCTCCTCATCCACACACGCACACACGGTATATTTTCTCCTCTTATTTTCTTCTCTTTTCTTAACTTCACTCACAGTTAAATTAAGGTAAAAATTTTATTTTATATATGTTTTATTCATTATATTTATTTTTTATTTTTAATAATTACATGAATGTTATTGTAGGATTTGTTTTTCATATAAGATCAATTTTGTTGGATTTTAGTTGAATTTATTTTAGTTGTTAATTTATTTTTTTGTTGGATTATGGGTTCTAGAATAGGATTTCTAGGTTAGGTGAAAAAAATTAGTTGATTTATTTATTTGTTGCTATTGTTTTATATTTTTTTGTGTTATTTATTTGTTGCAAATCTGTTTGAGTTGATTTTCTTCTTTTTTCCAAGCAACTCAGTTCTTGAGTATTACTATTAAGTGTTGATTTATATCAATTTAATTTATTTTAGTTATTTTGGACTTTTGTTAAATAGAATTTTTTTTTAAATTTTTTTTTAAATAATTATTGATGTTATTACTGACAGACTAAGTTTGTCGACATATTTCACACAACCCAACATCCACATTTCGTGGTTCCATTGAAAATTAAGGATGACCATTATTAAATTGTTTCTAGGCTTTGCCATTGAAAATGTGCGCGCATTATGACTTCATCCATCTCATATGTCATGTCATGTACTTAGTAGTTTTTGGAGATATAAATAATCTTTTTAATCTGTCAATGATTGTAAAGTATCTTAGTTTTCTATGTGTGACAAAAGTCTTTCTCCTGTTAGTTCTGGGTTTATGCCCAACACGTCAACAGGTTCCGTATTCGGCCAAATCTACATTTTCTAGGAAGTGCAGCATGCAAAATTTTGGACACATGTCAATTTTATAGTATCCTAGATCAAGGAGTTTCATAATAAAAGTTCTCTTTTAGCTATTACTTTAAGGTAAAATATTTCTCGTCCATTTGATAATTCTATTATAGTCAACCTTTTTCAGTCCGTGATCTAATTTAATGGTGAATACATGTGCGATAACTGATAATTTAATATGATTTATGTATCCATCTTATAAATATTTATCATAATTTTTTAAAAAATTAAAAAACCTGGTTGTGTCTATATTTGGTTCTTCATCTATGATTGAAAATTCACTTGCATAACCTTGATTCATTCTCATTGCATTTATAGCCATACTCCTATAATGATTACTATTATCATCTATAGCTCTTGCTAGAACTAAAAGTTAACCCAATCATATTTTCTACCATGATCTCATAAGAAACATTTAGTTCTCTATGTGTAAACTAATACAAGTATTTCTCCATTAACCCTTTCTATAAAAGATGCATAATTGTAACATCTAAATCAAGAAATTTTTTATTTTTAGACCTTTACATGGACATTTAATACCTCATCCACTAATATTTTTTAGATTAGATAGTGCGTATTTACTAAAACCTTCAACTCCATTATAATAATTCATCCCACTTAGCCATTCAGGTAAAACTCGATACATTCAAGAATGATCATTCATTATATATATGAAATTTATATAGAATATTGATAATAATATGTAGTAATTAATAATGTGAACTAAACAAATTATTGATACTCAACTAATAAATTATCATTGGTTTAATTCAAACTTATTCCATCTATGTTAATAGTACCTTTAAATCATCATCAATTTTCTACAAAAATTATTCCTCCACATTTATCATAATTACCAACTTAACAATAAAATTCACAAAATATGAAACTTACCAATTAAATATGTCATAATTTATTTCATTATAAAACACCTAAGTCATAAAATCAAACTCAATTTCATCAAATAACAAACAAATATAATTTTTTTAAATCTCAAATAAATCCTAACATGCACAAATCATATATTTATACAACAAATTTTTATGGAAAAAATATATAAAACAAGTAAACACAAAAACAAATTGCATATACTACATAAAAATATCAAGAAAATAACATTTTAAAAATAAGTTAAAAAATGGATCGTTTTATTTACTTGATGCGGCGAATCTTTAAAAAAAAAACTAGAATAAAGATGATAATAAACTAAGCACTAGGATGATTGAATTTATGATGATAAAAAATTAATTTGTAAAAAATTACAGAAGGGTGATTGTGTTGTTTCTTTATATAAGAAAAATAGAAAGAAATAAAAAGGAAAAGAGAGGGGGTTGTTAATTTATTAGGTTATAATTTAAATATTACCTTTAAATTTACTAACATACATTAGTAGTAATAAGTATATTTTGTTGATGATTTTTTTTATAATAATACCAAAAAAAAATTTCATTTTTTTTATTTCCAACTATAATTTCTGATTATATATATACCAACAAATGTCTACATCGAAAAATCGTGCGTCAGGGAACATTTGGGACTTTTTGCCTCTCTTGAGGTCACCGCATACGTGGGAACCGAAAGTGGTCATAGCATGCGTATGTGACCACCCTCTTATTACTTGTCATCTTCTTAGTTATTATGGATGTCTATAAATTGTCCCAACAATTATCTCGCTAGCATCACACAATCTGAAGCTCTCGCCAACAATGGCAGAAGTACTTCCAACCAAAAGGCACTTCTTTATTACGAAACCTCTCCTCTGCAACATGTGTTGACTCGAAAAATATACTCACAAACTTCATATTCTAATACCTTTCTTTTTATTATATGAAATTTCAGGATTGCAGTCGTTACGGGTGCAAATAAAGGGATTGGTTTAGAGATTTGCAGGCAGCTGGCATCTAAAGGGGTCCTGGTGGTTTTAACAGCTAGAGATGAGGAGAGGGGTCTTGAAGCTGTCAAGAGCCTCAAAGTTTCAGGTTTTTCTGATGTAGTTTTGCATCAACTTGATGTGGTGGACGATCTCAGTATTGCTTCCTTGGCCAATTTCATCAGAAACCAATTCGGAAGGCTTGATATATTAGTAATACACTCATTTCCTTCCAAAGAGTTCTTTCGTCTTGATAAATGTATATTGTGACTGTAACTTGTCTACAGATTCTAATATGTTTAGGCAACCGCAAACGGTGAACAATGCAGGCGTTCTTGGAAGCGGAGTTAAAGCAGAAGACAGGAAGAACTTTAGATATACTGTTGAAGATGTAAGTCTCTCAAAGTGATATGATCTTATAAATGTCGTTGATAACGATTATAATTAAAGAAATAAAGAAAAGACAAGTATATGTTTTCAATTTCTAACGTTTTTCTGTATTGGAGTATTGATCAGATTACAGGTCCAAATGCTGTACCACAAAAAAAATTTGTGAACCAAACTTATGAAATAACAGTCAGTTGCCTGAGAACTAATTATTACGGAACCAAACACCTAACTGAAGCGTTAATTCCTATCCTTGAGCAATCCAGTTCTGCAAGAATAGTCAATGTCTCCTCCACCCTGGGGAAGCTTAAGGTAAACACGCCATATCCATCTCTTTCAGGCAGTAGACATAGTTTCATTATCATATTCCAATCAGCATACATATATATGGATAAGTTCACGACCGAAATTTGTTTCTCCTGCAGTTTATTCCTAATGAAAAAGCCAAAAAGGAGCTAGGTGATGTTGATGTCGTTACAGAAGAAAAGGTTGAGAAGCTGGTGGAAGATTTCCTGGAGGATGTTAAGAGTGATTTAGTGGAAACCAAACGTTGGCCTACCCTTTTTTCAGCTTATATAGTGTCCAAGGCTGCTCTTAATGCCTACACAAGGATTTTGGCGAAGAAGTACCCCAAAATTGCAACCAACGCAGTCTGTCCAGGTTTTACTAGCACAGACATCAATGATAGCACTGGGATTTTCACTACTGAAGAAGCTGCACGAGGTCCTGTTATGCTGGCTCTGATGCCTGATCATCAGCGCCCTTCTGGCTGCTTCTTTTTTCAGACAGAAATGTCAACTTTTTGAATGATATCGACCAATGTACTTGCGGTGTATGCATGTTATGTACTAAGAGAATAAAGGTGGGGAGAGCTATTCTTATCCTATATCTCCGCGCGAAAGTTTTATAAATGATGGGATATTTCACCACACAAAGTTGATGTATGCTTCGAGTTTTAATTGACTGGTATATAAAAGAAGCAATTATTTCTCTTTTAATCATTTTAATTTTCTTCTGGATTGTATTTAAGCAACCTATCACTTGAATGCCCATTTCAGTTGGAATTTGCAGTTGTGGAAGCGTGCTTATCTTGACAACTCAATATTTCAATGAGGAATTATCAAAATTTGTTTTCTCCTCCAGTTTATTCCTCGAAAAAAGCCAAAAGGAGCTAGGTGATGCTGATGGCCTCACTGAAGAAAAGGTTGAGAAGCTAGTGGAAGAGTTCTGGAGGATATTGTTAAGAATGATTTAGTGGAAACCAAACATTGGCCTACCCTTTTTCAGCTTATATTGTTCCAAATACTGTGTAGGAAATCTCATGGGAAGAGCCAAAAAGGAAAGTGAAAATAAAAAGACAAAGAAATTTGAGTTTCATCCCTTTATTTTTATAGCTTTAAAGGCACTTTGAAGAGCTAAAACAATATTTTTATGACGGAGAGCTATTCTTAGTCAAAAGAGCTAAAATTTTGTTTAATATATTGAATGATATAATGCCCTAAGAGAATAAAGGTGGGGAGAGCTATTCATATTCTAGATCTCCACGCTGAATTTCTAGTGAATTTTAATTCACTCACAATGTACATAAACATTTTTCTCTTGAAAAACCAGTTAATTAACAGTTTTTTTCAAAAAAACCAGTGCAGTTAATTGATTTCACTAGCACTGTTTACGTGAATGTAAACAATAATTTTTTTAAAAAATAGTTTAAGGTGAATTAAATTTATTTGTACTTTAATCTTAATTTTATTCCTAATAATATTTAAGCCACGTTGTTT